TGAATTTTGGTCTTGTCTAGGGCTGGCCATGTGGTCCAATGCTCTCTCATGCTGGGCATGGGCAGGAGCTTCATCTCCTGGTCAGCCCTGCAATGGCAAGAGTGAACAACCAAACTTCTCACAACCATTCTGCACCTGTACTGTCATTCCACTTTCTAATGTCAGTACGGTATTTAGTAAATTAAATTAAATGTCAATACTTTATTATAAATGAGGATCTGTGGGAAGTGATTTTGTACCAATGTAGGCTAAGGTGTTTGGAGCACGTTTACAGTAGATGAGGCTAAGCTATGACGTTCTGTAGGTCAGGTGTGTTAAGTGAATTTTTGACTTACCAAATTTTCAACATATGGGTTTATTGAGACATACCCCCATAAGTGGAGGAAGATCTGTACAAGTGAAATTGCTTTAGAGCTTGTTAGGAGACCTGTGTTCCTTAAGCTGTGAGGAAAAGGGTCTAATTAAAAAGCTTCAAGTGTGAATTTTTAAATGTCGCATTATATACTTTGCACACAGTTCAAATGTTTCTAGTCCAGGAAGCAAGTGAGAATAGGGTATATTGGAACTATTACACGGGTCAAATAGAAAAGACTTGTGACTGATTTATATATAATCAGAGGTCAGGAGATAAAGGAGTCAAAAATGATTCAGAAATCTCTACTCAGGAAACCAGTGAATGCCTGTTATGCTTGGAAGGCAAAGAAGCATCCATGCCTGTAGGTAATGAATTAATATTAAATTATAAAAAAGAAAAATCTTTACATGTATTACATTGCTTTGATCTATGATTACAAAAGAAATATAGTTTAGGCTAGAAATGATTAATGCCATAAGTTTAAAACACAGGGAAGAACTCAAATAATCACTATTCAATAATATTAAAACATGAAATGAAGTCAGGTTGACTACAGAAACACTCACTGAGTAGTCACAGAGGATTACCCATGCAGAATATAGCCATGGAGAGTACAGAGCAGAAATGCAGAAACCTTTTGACATCCATGTGCCGAAAAAAAAAAAATGGCATTCCCACAGCATCTAAATTAGAATTTGGAATTCAGATTGCGTGAGGTTAATAGGTGAAATTTTCTTTTCAAATGGAGGTAAATCATGAAGGATTGCCTTCTTTTTGCTTGATGTCTAGCAGAAAAATCATGGAAAATCTAAGGCTAACAAATATTCTAGGCCATGAGAACTAACAACAACCAAAAAAATCAACTCAGAGGATTGAGTAATGTCTTAGGTTACAAGAACGGAGGTCCCTATAAAGAAGTCTAGGGGTGCCTGGGTGGCTAAGTTGGTTAGGCATCTGACTCCTAGTTTCAGCTCAGGTCATGATCTTTGAGCTCTTAAGATTGAGCCCCACATCAGGTTCTGTGTGCTGACAGTGTGGACCCTGCTTGGGATTCTCTATCTCCTTCTTTCTCTGTCCTTCTCCCACTCACGCTGTGCTCTCTCTCTCTCTCAAAATAAGTTTTTTTTTTTTAAGTTCACTCTCTTAAAAAATCTATATAAAATTCTATAAAGAATTATTTTAACATGGGGATGAAAGTTTCAGCATAGGGAACATAGTCAATTGTATTGTGATAGCATTGTATGGTGACAGACAGTAGCCACACTTGTGAGCGTGGCCTAAGGTATAGACCATCAAATCACTATGATGTATACCTGAAACTAATGCAATACTGTGTGTCAATTATAATTTTTATAAAGAATAGTTGTTAATAGAATCAATATGAAACAATGCAATGTGGTCCTAAATATGTCTTTAAAAAGTGAACCAGTGAATCATTCCTGAATGTTTTATAGTTGCATTCAGACTCCAGAGAAAATGTATGCATCTCCCTCCTTGAAGAAGGTAGATAGAATAGCGAGTAGACAAAAATGGGGGCAAAGAGGAAGAAGAGATGGAAAGGGAAGACAGGAGAGAGGACAAAAGAAAGGGGGAAGGAAAGAAGTCTATCAGCATGTAGGAATTGAAGAAACATTAGAGAAAGGAGTAGGAGAAAATATACTGAAGCTGAAGGTCTAGAAGGCGATGCACAATAGAGGGAGCTAAAGACTACAGGATAGGAGTGACTGGGTGGCTCAGTGGGTTAAGCAGCCAACTTCAGCTCAGGTCATGATCTTACCCTTCCTGAGTTCGAGCCTGGCATTGGGCTCTGTGCTGACAGCTCAGAGTCTGGAGCCTGATTTGGATTATGTGTCTCCCTCTCCCTCTCTGCCCCTTTCCTGCTTGTGCTCTCTTTCAAAAATAAATTTTAAAAAAGTTATAAAATATTCTCTGAGTTCTTGGTGACATTGCCCTACAAATTGAATCATGTGCTCCACAACTGGCAGCGATACAAATGTAGAACAAGTCTTATGGAATGAATCATGCGCTTTTTATTTCTCCTGACTACCCTGAATTACTTCATAATGGATTGTAGGAAGAGGATGGTAATTGGGAAAATACAGACAAGGAAACTTTGTATTTAATGAAATTGAATATGAACTAAGAATATACATTCAGCTAATAAAATCTGACTATGAAAGCCTTAGAGTGGCTGTACTTTCTCTTTGGAAAGTGAATGCACAATGGTTTTGACCATTTTAATGTTCATTGGCATTTTCATAAAAAAAAAAAAACCCACTAATTAAAAAGTTAAAGTTTGAGGAAAGTCAAGTTACTCTCTGTTAGTGTAACAACCAGTGACTAGCTCAGGGGACAGGGAAGGGAAAGGTAAAACTTCAATCCAAAATGAAGGTTAAACATGGTCTTCAGATTATGATTATGAATTCAACAGATATTTAATCATATACCATGTATCATCAAAGTTATCTAGATATTGCTATTGAGTTGTACTTATTTGTCTTTGCTCCAAAGAAAGGAGTACATGCCAATAATGTTTTTCTGCCCTTGGGACACCTCTGAAGGACCAGCACCTCCTTTTTTTGAAAAACATATAAATAAATACTCGGAATAAGTGTGTGTGGCGGGTGTGTGTGTGGAGTGGTATTGTGAGGAATCTGTGATACACTTGATGAATCACCAGTACAATTACCTTTATAAATTTATGCCTTATTAAAAAAAAAAAAAAAAAAAAANAAAAAAAAAAAAAAAAAAAAAGGAAATCTGATTTAAAATGGAGTCTGGATGCCCTGAAGGGGGCGCTCTCACCCACATGCCACACACACACACACACACACACACACACACACACACACAGCCTCCATAATCAGCAGTAAGAGGGAAGAACTGTTATTTTGACAAAAAAAAGACACCTTTCACATATCTCCTGCCTTCACGAAAACAAAGATCCTTCCCTGCCCAGCAACAATACACGAATTACCACTTGCAGCCAATGAGAAACCATCTCAGCCTCAAACTCTTGTTCTTTTCCAAAAAACTTCCATTCAAAATAGTCCGCCCTAGTTTCTTCCTACAATCTAATAAAAGCTGACCGTCCATTCCTCTCTTCAGACTTGCCCATGGTTCACCATAGTTTACTTTTCCCAAGTTTCGATCCTTCTTCTATTACCGAATAACATTTTTACTTAAATAAAAGTGATCTTTATTTAAAATTAACAGTCAGAATTTGTGTCAAAAGTAAAAAGAACCAGAGAGGTTACTGATCTTATAAGTTTTTATATTAAAATATTTCATCCACACACTTATAGACCCAAAACATAAGTGTCCCCCAAAGTTCATTTTAAGGAACAGTAATCCCATCAGATATTTTTCAAAAAGGGAGGAAGAAAATAAGTCTATGGGGGAAAAAACATAGCTTACTGAGGCCTCTTGTACTACCTAAAGCAAGCACCTTGGAACACTATTCTTGAATCAATATTTTGGTTCAGTATGTAGAACTCAGATGGTGTTGGGAACAATATGTACCATTTAGTAATTTCCTATATTAAACAACTATTCTTGCTAACTGGATGCTAAATTTTTGAAATTGTTACTAGCATTTAAAACTTTGCAACTTCTAAATTCTGAGACCTAAGAGCAAGTATTTCTAGTGCTGTATCTTAATTTGATTCTAACCTATGTTATATTTTCCAAGATTTATAATTCACTTAAACATGTTCAAGCCTGATGTAAAGTCCTACAGCTAAGAAATTGGTTTAATTTTGTTTTACCTGGATCCTTCTTTTCCAATGCTCTAACCATACTTTAAACATTTGGTTTGTCTTTTTCACTCCTTTTTTTCTTTTACACAAGCATTTTTTTTTAGCCAATTTAACAAACATTCTTGTATGCTATAAAACTACTATGGACCCTGTAAAGTAATCAAGATGCAGATGGCAGGGAGAAATAGCACAGAGAAATACAGTGTTAGTTCTGGATCAAACGTTCATTTAAGTTTATCTCTTTTCTCATGACTTTCTCTGAGTATATGGGCTTTTAAGTCCATTTTAATGTTTAAAATGTGCCTGTGGCCATGTTCATTTTTATAGCTGCTCTAGAATGAACACATTCCGAGGAAAAGATAATACCAAGAAGATGGAAGAATTATACTCTGATCTTTAGAGATTTAGTGGTAAAAATTTCATAATCCTGTTACCACAACTATTCATTAAACCTCTTTCCTATATGTCTTTATAGTACACATGAGTTAGATGGAATGATAAGAGTAAAGAGAAAGGTTATCACACAGGTCACAAGGCATTTTCTATCTAATAAGAGAGACCAGATAGTTAAGGGGGAAAAAATCAGCAAAATTGGAGCAGGAACTGTTCTCAGTCTAGAGATTACAATGGAAAAGATCAACTTCCTAAAAGTTTGGAGTTCTGTCCAACAAAAAGCAAAATGATGTTCAAAAACCAGAAGGATGCCAGTACATATATGTCTAACACATGAAGAACATTCGTGTGTTCACTATGTCTATAATCCACACATGTGGAAATTGGCTAGGGAATTTTTATCCTTTTAAAACACATTGTCTCTCTTCCAGGACTTCTGTTAAGCTTGCAATTAGTTCTTTATGCTTTTTGATAATTCATAGTTATATTACATTAGTTAGATATTAAAGAAAGCAAGGTCTCACTTCTGATGGCACTTTCTATAAGTGATTTCATCAGAGCATGGAAAGCAAGGTCTCAAACATGGTCAATTGATAGAATTTCCCCTTAGCATTGACAAAAAATAAGAGGGAATGTAAAATCTTTCTCATTTTGTTATAAGTACTGCTTTGGTGCATTTAACTGTAATTCATTCATTTCACTCCCATAGGACAGTCTATTGTGTGAATAGATCACAATGATCTTTCTGCATTTTCCAGTTCTTGAGCCTACAAACCATGTTGCTAGGGACACATCTTCGATACAAATACACAAGGATTTCTCTCAAGTATACAAACAGGAGTAGAATTGCAAGGTCATAGGTACATGCACTTCATTATTGTTAGAATTCCCGGTGTTTTTTCACAGTAAATATAGCTAAGTGATATTTCCTGAAACAATGTCCACCTTTGGATTTAAAGCAATCTAACATTTGACCAGAAAGAGGTTGTATGATTGGGTATTACTCATCTGTGGCCTTTCAAAGGGCAAATTCCTGCCAGAGGATAAGTGGAGTTTAAGATGAAATATATTTGAACTTAAACAAAGGCCTGACTTCTAAGGCTCTGGGGAAAGAGATTGCAAGTCATTATATACTTAAACTAATCTCACTCAAGAGGAATAAATCGCTCTACATGAATTCTTTAGTTTTAAAAACAAACGCTAATTTAATAATATCTTTCAAGATTATGTTTTCCTTTGTAGAATTTCTAAACCAGGAGTCAACTCCCCAGGTGTACCAACATGGCTCGTAACCAAGTCTGCAAGGCATTAAATGGGTCTACTAGGCATAAGTACAGAACAATCACCTGAATGCCCCTCTCCCAACTACTCACACATGAAGTTCTGTGGGTGATGCCAGGTCCCTGATATTTGCTAAAGCTGGGTCCATTTTATTCTTAGGAATTATAGGCACAATGCCCAGGGGCAGTGGGCTTTTCAGGGGCCTATACAATTTTGAAACCAGCACATATTGGCTCAGCAGTGGGACTATTACAAGATAAGAACTGACAAATATTCCGTGGTCAAAAATACATAACTTCATGCTAGCCGCACTATTGGGACATTTAGTGTTCATAATATTTCCATTGTACTTGGAAACAAGTTATATATTGATTTTCTTCACTTTGCAAGAATTTCCACACATACGTTGTGATTTGAGGGAAATCACAGTGAATTATTAATTGCTCATAGCCAATATTTTTCAGGACATTATAAATATCTTTGCGTTTTTGGGGGCGCCTTGGTGGCTTAGTCAGTTAAGCGCCTTGGTGGCTTAGTCGGTTAAGCGTCCAACTTTCGCTTAGGTCATGATCTCGTGGTTCGTGGGTTCGAGCCCTGCGTCGGGCTCTGTGCTGACTGCTAGCTCGGAGCCTGGAGCCTGTTTCAGTCTGTGACTCCCTCTCTCTCTGACCCTCCCCTGCTCACGCTGTCTCTCTCTCTCCTAGAAATAAATAAAAATATTAAAAAAAAATAAAAATAAATATCTTTGCATTTTTTGCCACAAGTATTACACATAATGTAGGAGCTGTATACATTTTAATGTACTTACTACAATGTGGTATAAAGTCAGAAGTCTGCTGAGCTGTTCTATCTTCACCCGTTTTCTTCATATGCTGTTGACCAATGAATATTTAAAATTCATCTTCTAAATACGTTGTCTACTTACTCTAATTGGCGATCATCTCTCTTCAGGATTTAGGGCAGAAGCCTCCTGGCGGTGAAACTGGTGACATCCGGGTAGGGGGCCCGGCCTCCACAGAAAGTGCATGGTGCCTCCCGCCAGAAGCAAGAGTGAGAAGCCTGGAAAGAGAAGAGTCAGGAGTGTCTCGAGAGGAGCATAGAGAACTTCCAGAAGCAGCTGATGGAAATAGTGAGACTTTGAGGAAGACTTCTAGAAAAAGGAGGGTTTTTTATAGTAGGTTTTTTATATGACATTTTGTTGTATGGCTGCCTCTTCTCTGCCCTCGTCACCCACCTACTTTCTACAAGACTTCATTAAAACTGCTTTGGAGTCTTAAGCGCCGCACTATGCAGGGACAGAAAGGTAACTGGAAACGACTTTGCCATGGTGGCTGTTTCTACTCTGCGCTCCTTACTTCATGGCTGTCAACCACATACTAGCCTACCTGGTGAATTAGGACGTGATAAAATTTAGAGGCGGGAAAAGTATTGTAACTATAGTTATTAAATGCCTCTCTGTAGAAGATTAATTGTGCATAAATTCGGTGTCACAGAATACTGGTTTCAGATATTCTTAGGGGTGCTAGAGTAGAATAGGACCACATATGAATAATACAAATGAGGAGTTACTCGAAGGAATAAAATATCAATGACACTCAATAGATAGAGTATGCTAAATGAAAATATCAGTGACATTTTATATTCAATGAATTAATAACAGAAACAAGTATATAGTGCTTATTATGCTCCACGTGTTTTATTCATAACAGCCCTATTAGCATATTGTAAGCATACCCTAGGTATTTGTAGTTTCTACTTTTTCCAAATGAATGGACAAATGGCAAGACTGATTATGTAAATTGTGCAAAGCTGGTAAGCAATATTAGAGACTTTCTCTCTGCTGATCACTATGACTAAATGCTGCACACTCAATTTCCATCGACCATCTCTTGTTTGATAGACATTTTCAATTATTTTTCTCCCTTGAAGGTGACTCTTTTTTTCCCCTCAAAACATGAGCATATGGAAAGACTTGCCTTTACTTAAAAAAATATTTGGTCCTTTATCTAAAATCTTCATCTCTCAAAAATAAACAAACATTAAAAATTTTAAAAGAAAAAAAGTCAAGGTAATCTATGTCATTTTTAAAACATATTTATTAATTGTTTTAGGATTATACAATTATATTTGTAGATAAACTCATAATTCTATCCTACAAATTATATATGCCTTTATACACATTTATATTATATATATTTATATTTAATAAATATGATCCTGAAAATGGCATGTCCTTACTAGTGATGAGAGAGTAAAAGGAATAATTGCCATTGATTAGGAAATCTGCTACTGATTTAGAAAAGTTACTCCAAAGTGAAGCAAAAAAGAGCCAGGGTGGAAAGAAAAGCAAGGGGATGATATTCAATAGAGACAGGTCATATCCTATAATGAGATCCCCATTACTTACTTCTATTGGTTTTCCCCTGAGGCTATAAAATATGTGGAATGGTTTCTATGTTACCACTAGTGATAAGAGGAAAAGGCTCACAAGGAAAGAGAAAACGAAAAGCATCCTGAGTGAGTGCGGGGTGGTGAATATGATCCAGAGCACACATAGAAGACGGCTGCTGGTTCTAATGCCCTGAAGGAGGAGAAGAATGGAGTGGTGTACCAGGCTGAACAGTGTCCTCCAAACATTCATGCTTTACTGGAACCACATGTTAACCTTGTTTGGAAATAGGGTCTTTGCAGGTATAATCAGGTAAGACAAGAACACGCTGGAGAAGGCTAGGCCCCCATCCAATGACTGGTGTCCTTGTGAGAAAATAGAGACACAGTGAAAAACACACAGGCAAATGCCATGTAAAAGTAAGTAAGCACTGAAGTGACACATCAACAAACCAAGGAATGCCAAAGATCTCTAGCAACCAGCAGAAGCTAGGAGAGTCATGGAGCTGACTGTCCTTCATAGACTGAGGACTGAAGTACAATTCCGGATGAGATAACTAGAGTAGAAAGCATCTGGGAACTGAGAGGTCAAGGTACGGAAGGACTGTCAATGAGAGCGTTAAAATTCTGGCATTACAACAGTGGTGGTGAAGAGAGGAGTGGTGACCATCTTCCTCAAGGATGGAGAGTAGTGTCCTGGGGCCATGGGGAGGAGGATTGAAATCAGGAGAGGGAGTGGCATTTAAAACCGGATTTTATAAAAGAGAAGCCTAAAATGGCCTAGAAGCTGCAACGATGTCTCGGATCACAAGTATTTATCTCTAGGTCCTTTGATACAAAACAGTGTGGAAGAGAAAACCACCACCCACCTGACAGGGCTACAGAAGAAATGGTGTCCTCAATGGGAGGCAGGTGTCAGAGAAGGTGAGAAGGCAAAGGGAAGCTTCACAGGTGAGGTTGAACATGAAAGCTGTATTAGTCAGGGTTCTCCAGAGAAACATAGTCAAAAGCACAAATACATGAATGTAGAACCTGCATATGTATATATACAGTTGACCATGAACAATGCAGATGTTAAGGGTGCCAACTCCTGCATAGTAGACAATCCACATTTAACTTTTGACTCTAAAACATGACTTCTAATAGTCTACTATTGACCAGAAGCCTTACTGAGGAACATAAACAGTTAATTAACACATATTTTCTATGTTCTATTGATTATATACTCTATTCTTAAAGTAAGCTAAAGAAAGTGTTGAGAAAATCAGAAGTAGTGTACTGTGTTTACTGAAAAAAACAGTGTGTATAAGTGGACACATACATTTCAAACCTGTATTGTTTAAGGGTCAACTAATTATATACACATACTGATTAATTATACAAATTGTTTCAGGTGATTACAGAGGCCAGGAAGTCTCACAATTTGGGTAGTGGGGTGGGGGGCAATGGTGTATGTTCTGGTCTTCATACAGTGTCTTCATATGTTGTAGTCATTTATTCATTTGACATCCAGTACAGATTTGTTGAGTGCCTACCAGTTAATCTCCTAAGTGAACACAAAACAGATAACCACGCCTTTGCAGAAGTTCTATTTTAGTAAAGGAAAGTCATTAATGCAATAGATTAGAAGGTAATAAGTACTACAGCAAAAGGAAAAGTTAAATAGCGTAGGATGACTGGGAGTCCTACGGGGAGGGGTATGGGTTGCCATGCTGGACAGAATGGCCAAGAGGGTCCACACTAAGTAGGTGACTTTTGAGCAATGAATTGAAAGAGCTTAGAAATTCATCCAGTGGATATCTTCACAAAGAGAGCTCCTGGCAGAGAGTACAGCGAACACATATGTCCTTGTGAAGAGGTATGCCTGGAAAGTTGGTCCAGTAGGAAAGAGGC